AYCGAATTSAGAAAGAAAGGGAAAGARTGCTGGCGAAACAGGCGGTAGAGAGGGCTACAAGGGAAGCCCGCGAYAGAGCAGCCACTGAGGCTCATGCGAAAGTTCAAAGAGCGGCTGTTGGGAAGGCTTCCGATGACCGTGCGCGTGCAGAGAGAGCAGCYGTTCAAAGAGCTCATGCTGAAGCACGTGAAAGAGCTGCTGCAGGGGCAAGAGAAAAGGCCGAGAAAGCTGCAGCAGAAGCTAGAGAAAGGGCGAATGCTGAAGCATGGGAGAAGGAAGCAAGGGTCAGGGCAGAGCGAGCTGCTGTGGAAAGGGCAGCTGCAGAGGCACGTGGAAGGGCTGCAGCCCAAGCTAAAGCTAAGCAGCAAGAGAATAACAATGATCTTGACTCCTTCTTTAACTCGGTCTCTAGACCAAGTAGTGCTCCACGACAGAGAACCAACCCTTCGGTGCGATGGGATATCTACTTCTGTTATGCATTACGTCATTTTTATAGGAGATTAGTCTCTTCRTATAACTCTAGTTCTGTTGCAGGATCCTTTCCAAGATTCGTGGAACAAGGGAGGATCTTTCGAATCTAGCAAGGCATCTTCGCGAGTGCCTTCTGGAGCATCAGAGAACCTGAGAAAGGCCTCTTCAGCAACAAACWTTGTTGATGATCTCAGTTCAATATTTGGTGGAGGTACTTCAGTTTCTGAGGTTTATCCGCCATATTTAGTTTCATGTCTTATTACCTGGTCACCTTCTGAAAACTCCTGTGTGGTATAGGTTCAGCTACCCAATCTGGTGGGTTTCCAGATGTTGAAGGGGAAACCGAAGAGAGACGACGTGCCAGACTTGAACGCCACCAGAGGACACAGGAGCGGGCTGTACGTATCAATAGTGTTGTTAAATATTTTCCTTTGATGGGTTTTGTATGTGACAATGACACAAGATTCACTAGTATATMTATTAACATGAATTGTTTTCTCAAACAGGCGAAAGCACTTGCTGAGAAAAATGAACGTGATCTTCAAGTGCAGAGAGAACAAGTTGAGAGAAATGTAAGTATCYTTACCCGCYTGATTGAGTTTGGMTTCTTTACATGTGGATGTGGTTTCTTTCTTTTCCCTCTTATGTTGTGCCCAGGCTCAAAGTTTGGGGCCTCTTGCAGTCAATAACGTAAAAAACARTGTGCCACCTTWGGGAACTGRCTCAACTATTTRRATCCATCTTGTRTGTMTCTTTGTTTAGTAACCATGCTTAATCCTTGATTTCAGAGGATCGGTGAGACCTTGGATGTTGAGATAAAACGTTGGGGTGCGGGGAAGGAGGGAAACTTGCGTGCTCTGCTTTCGACGTTACAATATGTA